TTTCCAATTACATTCTGGGCAGCAAAGATTCACCGGGACACACATATTTCTCTTGTTTTATTTTAATATGGAGAAAACTCATCCCGACAGAATGGACAGCTCTTGATGCTGCTAGTTTTCTCCAGCCTCTCTGATTAATGAGCTTTCTAGCTCTCAGACGGCAGCAGTTAGACGCTACTCGGAGGAAATATGATTTTCCCAAGGATAAGAATAATTTAATTTGATGAATAAATAAATAAGAAATAAATCCTGGGATAGAACTAGGGTAAGGGGGGGGCACTTTTGCTGTGGTTTTAGTGGAGAATTTTACAATAAGAAAAGAGAGCTGGACACAGTCCTGATCAGAAAGACTCTGTTTCTGCCTTCAGTGTATTGCTTTGAGATGTAGAGCATCAAATGAGGGAATCCAAGGCTATACTTTTAGGGCTGAGCCAAGCAGAGCAACTTCGTCTAGAGCAGACATTGACAGTATATCTAGAAACTCAGTAACAGGTATATCAAAATATCAGGGTTTATTTTAGGGCAAGAAATGCTATTTTTTTCCTGCTGGTAGTACATCATTCTTTTCTGGTAAAATGATAATTATCCCTTTTTCTGATGCCTCCCAGCTTAAAAAAAACTAATCACTTTGTGATTGTTGGCCTAATTCAAATGAAACACTAATAAATATGTTGTATGTAACCCAGAGTTGCCTTGGGTGAGATGGGCAGCTATATAAATTTCATAAATAAGTAAATAATATGGACTTCGCTTGCTATCTCTGTCTTAGCAGAAATACCACACAGAGATCTTCTGCACATCATGTAGCCCAGGTAGGAGGGCTAATTACTTATAAAACACCTTCGGAGGCATACATGTTTCCCTGCAGCTCATCTGAGAAAATTTCTTTCTTGAAGATATGAAAATTAGAAACAGCTTGATCAAAATCACTTGTGGATATGGGAGAAGAAGTAAACAGCGTGGCGTTATATGGCAGAAAGGCAGGGATCCCATTGGAGCTTCATGCCACTTCCAAACTAGAAAAGACAACAAATTTATGTCACTGCATCTCTAAACACTTTGCTCTGCTATTGTAATGGCAGTTCTGAAACAAGGGAGCATAACGCAAGGCTTCACATCTGTTTGGTTTCCCGACGCTTTTAGCTAATAATACCAAACATTAAAATCTGACTATCTTCCACTTGTGAATCTATTTACCTCTTTTAAAAATATTCCAAAGAGCCTTTATCTTAATCCCCAAGAAACACTTTTCATAGCTTTTAAAATAATCATTTCACTTATTTGCAACAAATCTTATGTTTACACAACTTACTATATTCTTTAAATCAGAGGTCCCCAACCTTTTGGGCACCAGGGACCAGTTCCATGGAGAGAGGTTTTTCCGCGGACCAGAGGGGGCGTGGTTTTGTGTGTTGCCCGCATCCCGCGGATGGGTTTTGCTCGTTTGTGTGGACCGGTTGCTGGCATGCCGTGGCCCGGTACCATTCCATGGACCGGGGGTTTGGGACCTGTGCTTTAAATAACATGTACTTATAAACATTTATATATTACATGTCTCTGTTACGTTCCTAAAAATATATTCTTGCTGTTATTCTTGCACAACATTATTTGTGTGGTTGTTAACATTGTTATCTAATTGAAGTGGAATTTCCTTATTCCTATGAAATTGGCATGGAGGGGAGACACTTGTGAGTTAGGGAACACTCCAAAGTAGAGAAACAGCCAATAGGAAAGTAACCAAGTGCCAGGCTCTAATTGCTTTTCCTTGGGAAAAACAACCACATTTGATATGCATATTTCTGCATCATGTGGAAAGCCCTTGATTTAAACCTCATCTTGGATAACACTGCTCTAATATCCTGGACATTGCAGAAATTTAGAGGATGTTATATATGCAGCGCTCTGATTTTCAACAAACAGTTCTCAGTAAACATTAAATAGAAGAACTATTCTGAGTTACTAAAACTGACAACTAATTCACACATCATCTCTCTCCTAATCCATGAGTCAAAAACCAGCACAGCTGTTTTTATTTTAAACAATTATGTCTTGCTTTGAAACTAGCTATGGAAGTGGATTGTAATGAACAATATAATTACAAAAATCAAATCAAGTCAAACTTTATTATGCTAATAAACCAACATTAGGAATGGGAAGGTAAAATATAATTAATAAAAGGTATACGAGCATAAAGGATATAAAAAGTGTACGAGGCCTAAAAGATGACAACAAAAAGAAAATAAATTAAATGTTCATAACCTGCCAGGCCATAAAATGTTCTGTGGTGCCAGACCTTACAGTTGAGTGCTAATCATGAGCCAGAAGTTCAACACGGCTGCACAGAGCCTAGCAACATGGCATGTTGTGCTTGGATTGATGCCTGAAAGCAGTAGGCAGTTTATCCATAGAAAACTGCATATCAAACCAGAGCACACTAGAATTAAAAGCGGGTATAAACACAGAAATCCCTGTAGAAGATCCTTGTCATCAAAGAGGAAAAGCTGAGCCTGTGGTGCAACTACTAAGAAGTCTCTGCCATCCTCCAATCAAATATAGAACGGCCCTAGAGCAGGGCCTTGAGTTTTAACTCACTTTGGGTTTGAGCTTAAGGGCAAAGGCAGATCAGTAGCTTTCATGCTCGCGTGAGAAAAATGCATCCTGGTATATAGACAGTATTGCATTACAGGCTCAAGGACTTTGTGCTTTGGAAGTTGGTTTGTGGAACGGCCACACTTCTGTGGCAGGAGAGCAGGTATTCACGCTCTGAATTCTCAGTGCCAGACCCATGAGTTAGACTTCCTATGGCTGAAAAAAATTCTACTCATACATTGCCATTTAATCACATCAGTAAAGGCCCAATTATTTCTATACCGACCGAAGGATCACCAACTGCTCTGGATGTATACTATTCTTGCCTGTATCAGTGGGTGCTGGTTAGACTACTATAGGTTCCAATTACTGTGACCCACTTTGTGGATTCATCATGATCAATAGGTGGTTTACAAATGCCTTAAGCAAATTAATTTACCGGATGAGTGTGTTGTTTCCAGGTGCTATGAAGGGGAAGGAGCAAAAATTATCAGCCGCAGGTACTCCTTTTGCTAAATCTGAACTGTCTGCTCTGGATTAATCACATCTTGACAATTTTGGAAAGCTGCAGTTGCCTTCTCGCGAAAGAGGATCTTTTGCTTTCTCCTGGCTTTCTGGTTGTCCTTTTCCATCGCTCAGAGAATCCTGGGGAATGGGAAGTTCTGGTGTCTGGCGGGTAGTTGCTCCCTCCCGCCACCGTTAAAACTCTAGCAATCCAAGCCAAGGGCTTTTTGCTTCTAGGGGTAACTGGAGCAGCCCCGTCTTAATCCCAGCCGAGCTCTGGCAGTATCTGGTGCCAAAAGCTTGGCCTGTTGTTGCAAAGTACTCAGCAAAGAATAGCTTGTTTGTCCGAAGCACCGCAGTCCCATTCAAAAGCCCTTTAACCAGATTAGAGAAGGATTGAAGGCATTAGTTCATGGGTACCTTGGAGTTTATGCTGGATGAACACAGGGCATTGCTCAACTGCCCATGGGAACTCAGCACAGCTTTCCAGCCAAGAAGTCTGGCTCTGGGCACATGGGGGATTTTGTCAGCCACGGGAAGGGGGCTCTTGGGTTACGAGACAACAAGGCCCTGAAGAGCCAGAGATCCCTGGAGGGCGTTAATGATTAGCTGCCTTTTTAGTCTTAACTGGACTGTGCCAGGTGCTGTTAACAAGCCAGAGCAGTGCTGGCACATTCACCCTCATCCCTCCCTATTTTCCTGGACAGGGACTGGGGGGAGGAAGGGGTGGGTGGGGGAGAGATACTGGCTGAATCAGTAGGAGAGAGTTGCTGCTGGCTTGAACGCAAGCCCTGTCAGTGGGATGGAATGCAAAGAACTGTGTCCACGAGATCAGGACTGAAAGGCATTCAGTCCCCTGGGTTCAGCAAACCTCAGCCCCTCCGCCTTGGTAGCCCCAGGAACATAATCTTCCTTGCTTTCCCATGCATGCTGCTACTTTTGACCTTACTAACATGCATGCACGCTCATGGGCTTTTGGCTTTGGATGTCATCTTGCTACTGCTACCGGTAGTGTACCAAGATTGCATACCGGTAGCTATACTACCCTCTGCTGGTTCCCCCAAGCAGCATAACTTCTGTATATCCCTCACGTAACTTACTTTTTAAACATATTTAATGTAGTTTATTTTCTACGCCCTCTGTCCATAGACGCTCAACTTACCATGCACACACCACACAAGTAGCTTACCATCCAGAGCACTGCAGTTCTTCCAGTCCCTGGCGAGGGGAGTGTGTCAGTCAATACAGTGGGCCAAGGTGCCTTTCCAGAAAAATGAGGTGGCCTTCCTGGTTGCAGTTGAGCTTAGTCAATCGCTAGATCCTCTGTAAAGAAAGCTTCAAGCTTTATTTTTTATATGTACTCTCTTACTTGCCTGCATATTATTCTCTGGCAAACGTGTGCTCGTCTGTGAGTGAGGTATGTAAGTCTCTGCAAGGGGAGACCATACTGTGGTTCTGAGGCAACGAGGCAAGACAGTGCTTGTGCTCACATCTCTAAGCACTCAGCAGTGGAACCAAATCCAGCCCAGAAATAACTCCCCTTCCCCCAACAGGCTCCAGTTACAAGGGCTGGCATCTGAAGCAGCCCCCTAAGATGGGTGTCCTCCACTCCCCCTGGCTCCAGTGAGGGAGGCCCCAGAACCAACCAGAGAGAGTCAAAACACTACTAAGTCCTTAACACCTGACTTGGGAGGAGGCTCAGCAGCCATGTTTATTCCTGACAGGTCCCTTCCAGTCCATGATTTGCTGGCACTAGACTGACTATCTGGATGTAGCCCAGCAAACCCTGTCTCCGCCTGCGTCATCAACCTTGGAGACTTGCTCCTGAAGCTTGGAACTAACAGTTGAGCAGTGAGGAGCATGCAAGCATAAATAACTTTGCTTTCCCCCTTCCTGATTCTTTGCAGGGCACCTGATAAAACAGCACATCTAGTAGGATACCAACAGCTCCAGGAGCATCCCTATGCAGTTTTGCAGACCTCCAGAGGGATGTCCCAGTCACACCTTCTTGGAATCCTGCTTGCACTGGTGCTCTGCCTCCAGGTAAGAGTCTTGGTCCTCCTTCTTGTCTGGCTGTTTCAAATCAAATACATAAATACTGGACAGGCCAATCCACCTTTTTTTCTTCTTTTCCTCAGGGAGCTTCTGCCCAGGTTATGGAATATGTATATGAATATGTGTATGAAAGTTGGAAGGCCTACAGTGAAGAATGTCACCGCAATATGAGCCTTTGGCCACCATCTACTGGTGAGACAAGGTCCTCCTGGAGATTGAGTATCAGCTGACAATTTATCTGAACAAGGAAAGTGAGGCAGGGGACAAGCATTGACAGTTCGGCAGAATGTTTACTTGTTTTCTTCCAGCTTATTCTGCTGGAATCATATGCTTTTGAAAGCTGGAGTCCTATTCTTTTTGGTAACATCATGAGGACTATTATGCAAGAATTTTGGAAACTGTGGCATTGGACGAATGTAGAAAGACATCACAGGACTAGTAGAATGTAAATTATTAGATGTCACTTTTTTTTCCTTGAGAAGAGTGATGCATTCATGATACAGACACACACAAATGGTTTCAAGGCTGAAGTTTATGAATGAAGTACAAGGCAGGAAGTACCAGGCAGTTGTATAGATATGCACACATGAGTAAAGCAAGAGAAAGGATCTCACAGATATATTTCAGTACAGCTTATTTGAGTCAAGTCAAGTGAAGTCCCCAATAAAGTTTATTGGATAAAACATTTTAGGTCCAGTTGATGTAAGACAAGAGATATAATCATGGAAATAGAATAAAATAGTAAAAATAAGAATCCCCATACATATAAGTACTGTATCCATCTTTGTACTCTCTTCTCTAGAGTTGGTTTGTAACCGAACTTTCGATAAGTATTCATGCTGGCCTGATGCACAACTCAACAGCACTGTCAGTGTTTCCTGCCCCTGGTTCCTGCCCTGGTATGATCAAGGTACAGTATTAACACTGGGGAGATGATTGGCATTGGACCATATCTTTAGCAGGGAAAATGGACCTTGGTTGTCTAGACTCTAGACAATGTGTGTGTGTGATTCTAATGTTGGAAAACTGGGGAGACCCTTTCACTTCCATCTTCAGTCAGGGTAATTGGGATAAACAAACTACTATCCTATCCTGTCTAACACAAGGAAATACCATAAAAAGATATAATGTACTGTATTCTTTTATTATACAAGCCTGAAAGTTAGTAAAAAATTCAATGATATATGTCAAACTTTCAGCCTTAGGATGGTCCTGTATTAGTCAATATACTTACATATGGTCTATGTTTAATTCACAGTGGAAAAAAATGAATGATATACTATGCCATTATTATTTAAAGCTATAGAAAGCCTTTTTCTAATTTTTACTGTTTTGTTTATTTAGTTTTTGTTACCCATTATTTGAGATACTTCAATAAAAGTTAGTATATGTAATGTCAGTTTGAAAATATAATTTAAAAGCTTACATGCACTGTGTTTAGGTTATTAAGGAACAAAGGGACATAAAACTAATATAAAATCAGAAATGGTAAGAGAATGTATAAAATAGTCACCTAATTTTCTGGCGAAGGGTGAGATGAAAGTCAGAGGGTGCTAAAATCTAAATTTAGAACAGATATTAGAGTCAACAATAGATGATTAAAGCTCACAACAGATAGATGTCCACCATGGAGCCAGATATATTTCTGATCATATTCTTATTTATTCCTGTAGTGAAGCATGGCTATGTATTCAAGAAATGTGGTCCAGATGGACAGTGGGTGACCGGTCCTGGAGGGAAGTCACTGCGCAATGCTGATCAATGTATGATAGACAACAAGGAGGACCAGGTTAACAGAAAACTAAAAGTTCTGCTAATTTCTACAAGATCATCTTTTTCTGGCTTCCAATAGATAAAGGATCTGAATTGATTTTGTGCATCAGATGAACTCTTTTCCTCTTTTTCTTTTCAGGAGTGGTTTGATAGAATCTATGGAAGCTTCAGAGTGATGTACACGGTGGGCTACTCAGTGTCCCTCTGCGCTTTGCTCCTGGCCTTGGCGGTGTTGCTAGGCTTCAGGTGATTTGGAAACTGGATTGGGACTGGAGATGGTGGAGTGGTTGACCCTTGCAGCAGTGGACAAAAAAGGAAGAAAAAAGAAAATGGGTTGGGTTGGAATGAGATGGAGTCCTTCAAAGTGGGACGAGAAAAGAAAGAGGGGGGAATTAGTAGAGCTGGTCATAGATTTATTATTAGTATCATCATAGTCAACATCCAGGGTCCCACTTAGCATAATAAGCAAAAGGGGTCCTCAAGCAAAACAGGTATGGATTATCTTACTCTGAAATACAGATTATCCTCTATGCAGGGAAACCCTTGTCTTCATGTCCAACTTCTAAAATTATCTGACTTCATCGGTACTGATTAGAGCGGTCTTTCTCAGCTTTGACAACTTTAAGATGTCTAGACTTCAACTGGGAACTGAGGTCCAGACATCTTAAAATTGCCAAGGCTGAGAAAGACTGGATTAAAAGGACGTTTAACCCTATTCCATCTCATCCCACTTTGGATACCACCCGGGGGAGGATGCACTGGAGTAAACACATCTAGCCAGTCTGGAGAGACTGAGTTTTCTTCAGAACTGTTAAAGTGAGGGATTGCTTTAGAGCAGGAGTGTCAAACTGCCGGGCCACGGCCGGGTGCATCATGCCAAAACTGCACCCACCCCAGGTCCAGCAATGGGGGAAAAGTTGTGATACGTTGCAACATGTCACGTGACGTGGCGAGTTTGACACCCCTGCTTTAGAGAGTTGTAGAGAGTGATGAAATTGCAGGAACTGAGAAGCTGGTGAATGGGGTGAGGGCTGGGGTCAAAAGACAGAGAGAAATTTTATGCTGTATGGGAAAAATGGATAAATTTTATACAATTCAAATTGGATATGAAAAAATATCATTTAGCTTTTTTATAACTTGTACATAAACTCTGTTTTTTCTTTCTTTGCTTTTCTTTTTTAAATATTTTTTCTTTTTAACGTTTATATCCCTTTTATTTTTATTTTTATTTTTTTATTATTATTATCTTATAATTTGTTTAATTTTTTCAATTAAGCCTATACTCTGCTCTGGGAAGCTCGGGGGGGGGAGGGAGGGGTGGTTTGGGAGGGGTTGGGGGAGGGTTGTATTGTTTTGTTTATTTCTGTTGTTATTATTGTTGTTTTTTTGTTTTTGTAAAAGCTTTTAAAAAATTTTCAATAAAAAAAAAAGACAGAGAAAGGGAGGAACAGTGGCCCAATGAGGTAAAGATTTAGGCAGAGTGATACTGTGTGACATGCTCCAGATAGACAGGTGTTTTTGACAAGTTCCCTGCTCCCCAGCAAGCTGCACTGCATGCGCAACTACATCCACATGAACCTCTTCGCCTCCTTCATCCTGAAGGGCATCTCAGTGCTCACCATCGACACGCTGCTCCATACTCGCTACAGTGAGAAGGTTGATGACTACAATGTGAGCCTTTGGCAGAGTGACAAGGTAACAGCACCCTCTGTTATAGTCCCTCGTTTGTTTTATTTTATTTTCTCCTATTTCCAGCTACATTATAAGGCTTCCAACCCACCCATGCCCACCCATATATGTACAGATCCAATAACCCTCATGTCAGGAGTTTCTAAACATTATGGTAATGCAGTCCCCTCCAGTGAAAAAATGAACTTTCCCTTGCCATCGTGAACTAGGATGGACTAGTAATTAATATGTCTAAATAATTTATGTACACATAAATAATTATGTGCTTATATATGTAAATTTGGTGGGTTCCTCCATATCACTAGAAGTTCTCAGGTTTCAAGTCCTAAGCTGGCCCACTGCAGGCTCACATAGTCATAATGGGGAATAAAAGCCTGACTGAGTTTTTACACTACTTCTGTCCCTTCAGTTTTTAAATAAATTGTGACACTGTATCTCCCCTCCACATCTCTTGAAAATCCTTGTGCCTCTCTGAGAGGTCTCAACCTCCAGTCTAAGCCCATCATTCTGCTATTCTACAGTCCCAGCTCTTCTGTTCCTGTGGCTAAACAACCAAGAACCATTGAAAAGTTTGGGGATGGTTTAAAATGAGTTATGGAAAAAAGCATTTTTAGGTCAGCTGAAACCAACATTCAATTATATTACCGCATAGTTCTACATGTCAATAACCTTCACATAAGGATGTTCTATTGTTCTTCATACTGTATATGTAACTTCTCATGATAGGATATTTGTGAAAGCTCATCCTGGAGCTAGACTTTGATTCAAAGTGAGCCATGATTGTGCTATAACATCTCTGTTCAATGATTCATTGCTTGTATTTCCTACATTTATTAAGTGAGGAACATCTGATCCTCTAGAAGTTTCTGAACTACATTTCCCAGCAGTTCCAGTCAGTAATTCTGCTTTGGCAACATCTGGAAAGTCACACATTACACATTTTCTAATCCTGGATATGGGAAGTAGCATTGTTTGCTCTCATCAAGCAGTTTCTAACAACTAACAACTGCAATCCACAATTCAAGGAAAGGCTGCTGGTACAGCTCTGTAACTTGTGAAAGTGACAAAAGAGTTTTTCATCCTTTTCTTTTTCCTCCAAAACTCTCCAGGCTGCCCCACTGCTAGTTTTTCACCAGAAACCAATGTTTCTCAGTCTTAGCAACTTTAAAATTCCTCACCCGCATGTATGAAGTCCATACATTATAAAATTGCCAAGGTTGAGAAACGCTGTCATAAGGTATCAGCATGAAAACTACATGATTTGGACAAAACGTTCCCCGACCCAGAAATCTATCATTTACAGCAACATGTTCTTGGGATTATCCTGACTCCTTTCCTTTCTCTAGGCAGCAGCAGGGTGCCAGGCAGCCACAGTGTTCATGCAGTATGGTATTGTGGCCAACTACTGCTGGCTGCTTGTCGAGGGGATCTATCTGTACAACTTGCTGGTATTGACTGTCTTCTCCGAACACAGCTATTTCACCCTCTACCTCTGCATCGGCTGGGGTGAGTACAAGACGAGGAGTTGAGTGTCAGTAATCACCAGGGCACTGATAACCTCATCCATAGGAGAACACAAGGGAATCAGCTGTAATATCAGAACAGGAAACAATATAAGTGAAGGTGGAACTAGAGCATGTGATCACATTCTTTATCTCTGGCATAGGGTAAATGTAACAATTAGGGTTATGAGAATGCTAGGATGTGTGGATTTGACCAAGACTGCTTCTTTGGTTTCACTGGCAAGTAGGTTTATATCCAGTGGTATCTTCCTCTGGAGAAACAAAGTGTTGGAATTCATTGTTGGAATGTATTTCTATGCAACAACTATAGTAGTATTCAACCAGTAGATGGCAATGTTTGCAAGTATGGATCTATATGGTATATATTCTATGCTCTTTTGTTCTAAGTAGAGTTTCATGTTTCCAGTTGAGCAGTAAAGGACATGGTGATTGTACTCTTTGTTTGCTCTGTGGCACTATATATAAATTTTCTAACACAAGGAGAGAGTATTTCTATTGATAAAAGCAGCTGCAGTTGGCAACCTCTAGAAGTTCACACATTGCCTTTTCATTGCAGTCTCCCACTTACCATTTCCCACACTGTTCAGGAGGATCCAGTTACTCTACAGAGCATTTCTTATGAGGGAAGGAAGCATTGTGGAAAATCTCTGTGTCTTCCTTATGGGGAGTCTCTGAATCCAAGGCTGGATGTGTTTTGTAGGTTCAGTTCAGCTCAGCCATTTTACCTGCAGATGGGGAAAATGCTGTCACTTTCCAAAAGACCAAAATATCTAGGTGTGTAGCAGAGATGTTTTAAAAGCAATTGAATAGCTATTGCCCAATTTTTTAAAAAACAAAAACATATATTGAATCATTGACATCCTGCCTTAAATTCTAACTTTTGCTTCTGTCCTCCAAAGTCTTACCTAAACCACTTGTGCTTTTACAGTGCCATCATCGCTCATTATTGATCATGTCAACTATGACTAATGAGAATTAGAGTTCTGTGATACTTGGAGAACCATACATTGCCAACACCTGAATTAAAGCATACATAATGAGCAAATCATGAGAGATTGGATGGTGTCAATATAGATAGAATCTAGGAAATAGGACACACTAGTTGTGATCCTAATCACACAAGCAGAAATTCTGCATTGGCTTTTAACATGTTAATTACAGGAATGAAGGCTAAGTCAGATCAGGTTTAGGACATGAAGGCTAGGGAGCTTGAGCACTATCTATAAAGATTCCAGTCCAGATGTTATTTGTACTGGGACGAATTCCATTGAAAAATATCTGCAAGACTTCAAACAAATTGAATGAGAAAACCCCAAAATTTGATAACTTGCCTCCCTCGTGTCTACTGTATATTTTAGAAATTACAGGATATCTATATTGGGGTGGAATCTAGAACATTGACTTCTCCTGCACTGATTTTCTGGCTGAGATGAAAAGATGATCCTTTCTTGCATAATTCTGTTCCCTTTCTTCCCCCAGGAGCCCCAATCCTCTTCATTGTGCCGTGGGTGGTGGTGAAATATCTTTACGAAAATATTCAGTAAGTTACAACGAAAATGCCACAGAAATGCAGTGTCCACACTTGTAGACTGTGCAACAAGCTGGCTGCAGTTTTTCTGTAGTCCCAGTGTTACCAGGTGCTTTAGGAAGTACCGTACAATGTATGAGCAACAGAAAAGTTTGCTGAAGAATAAGAATCTGTACTCATTTTCTTTCTTTTTCTTTCTTTCTTTCTTTCTTTCTTTTTTCATCACTCTTCCAGTTGTTGGAGTACCAATAATAATATGGGCTTCTGGTGGATCCTGCGTTTCCCTGTATTCTTAGCCATTTTGGTAAGCGCCCCCCCCCCTTTATTTATTTATTTCAAATATTCCAAAAAACCAGTATAGGCTTAAACTCCTACTACTTGATCCTGCAAAAAAATAGTGTTTTAAGATACTTCAGTTTAAGAGGAGAGCAGCTCTGCACACTTCAAAATGCTAATTGAAACCAGTTAGAAAACATAATCCGTGCTCCTGGAACTATACTGTGGTCTGAGCACCAGTCCTTATTCACATTTGAGTGAGCATTTACGTGTAGCAGCTGGAGATTTTGCCTCGTCTGATGTGATAAAGTAACAAGAGTTATTATGAGTTATTATCATCTTATGAAGAGCTACACTAGCACACAACGTGTTTTTGAAAAAATACTAGAGGTTCTCCGGTAATGAACATACATTTTCTTTCTGTGAGTCGCAGAATTCAGTGTTTCTATAGCACTTTTCTTAAATGCTTAAGTCCCAACACATCATTAATAAAATACTTCTGCCTGCCATTCTGTCTACCTATAAATGGCCAGTGGTCATGTGAAATGTTTTCTCTAGGAAATCTTATAGCACTAATTAAGGCCAGAATTGGTCAGTATCAGGACAGAAGCTACAAAACAGTCATTGAAAATTTGGGAAGAGTGAGAAATTAAATCAAAATTTTTATTTATTTATTTATCTATACCGCTTTAAGTGCAAGCACTCTCTAAGCGGTGTACACCAGTAAGCAATGTATTTATATATATTTACATTGCCCCCAACAATCTGGGTCCTCATTTTACCTACCCCGGAAGGATGGAAGGCTGAGTCAACCTTGAGCCGGTGAGATTTGAACTGCTGACCTGCTGAACACAGTCAGCTAAAGTGGCCTGCAGTACTGCACCCTAACTGCTGCGCCACCTCGGCTCTTCATGATAACACTATTCAAGAATCCTCTAGATCTTTACTGTGCATGGTTCTCTGGGCAACTCATGTAATGCTATCCCTTCCTGCCACTCAGTCATGTTGCTTCTTTTTCTTTCTTTCAGATTAATTTCTTCATTTTCATTCGTATAATTCAGATCTTGGTCTCTAAGCTCCGTGCCCACCAGATGCGATACACAGACTACAAGTTTCGGTATTGGCTCTTGGCAATTTCCCCAAACAGCATACGCTTCTTGGGAAAAGAACATTCTTTTTCGCCCTCCCTACGACCTCCTTGGCTTTCTATGTCAGGGCAGTCCTCTCTTCTGGGTAGGATTTGGGGTCAGCACCATGATCTATAGGTTTCTAAAATAGTCATCAATACATTAAAGATTATAGCCCTTGCCAACTTTTGATGTGACTCCCCATAGAAAGTTTACTCTGAGTGTAAAGTTGCATGTAAAAATGTTTAATGTGACAAAAAAGAAGAAACTATTAAATGCATGAGAAACAATCACAATAACTGTACTAAATTCACATCACGTCAAATTCAAATTCCGTTTTGGATCTGCCTAGTTCCTGATGCACTTCAATAAGACTGAGTGTAGTGCTTGTCCCCCACCCCAGAAGATGGGCCTCTTCCCTACATATCTGATTAATTGTTTTTCCTTGTGATGAGGCCTAATCACCTACTGTTCATTTAGGCTGGCAAAATCAACCCTGACTCTGATTCCCTTGCTGGGCATCCATGAGATGGTTTTTGCCTTCGTCGTTGATGAGCATGCCCAGGGCACACTGCGCTTCATCAAGTTGTTCTTTGACCTCTTTCTTGGCTCTTTTCAGGTGAGACACATGAATTGTACTAATACTCAAGCTCTTCCAAAACCTATAGTAGTGCCATATCATCCATATAATTTTATTATTGGAAATTATTATTACAATGTTGGTAATTACCCTTCTGTATCCCCTAGGGAATGCTGGTGGCCATTCTCTACTGCTTTGTGAACAAAGAGGTGAGTCTTCAAATATAGGACACAGGCTTTGCCCCTTGTGGTTAAATTATGAGAGGTCCAGAATTTCAAGCTGCAATCATTTGAATGGTGGTGGAGCTACATACAAAGTCCTTTTTCAGTTTCAGTGGTCTACTCATCAAGAAGCAATTAAAAGGGCAGCCATAGCTATAACTTTCAGTTCACAATCCACAGAACTGTATTTTAGCAGTCAAAGCATACCTACAGTTTTTGGTGGAAATATAGCTGGAATATTACTAGATTTGGGTAAATCTACATAGTTTTTGGATTTAAAATGCTAGCTGTAGTTGTAGGTGCCTTACACATCAAATTATTTGAAGTCATTTTTTTCATTTGCAAGATCCAGTGTCCTTTTCCCCTTTTACTCTTCCATACTCTGTCATATGCTGCAGACAGAGGAGCAGGGCTGTACAAGGAAATCAGGATGCTACAAATAATGGTACCAAAAAGGCAACAAAGGCAACTTTTTGCTGATGTGTCCTCCCTATAGGTACATTCGGAACTCACCAAAAAATGGACACGCTGGAAACTTGGTCGGGACATAGAAGAAGAGTATAAACACACATACAGCCACACCCCCAATGCACGTAATGGGAGGAGCAGCAGCACCACCTGTGAGAAGCACAAACTGGTTGGCAACTACCTCAATGGTCTGAGCTGCAGTCAAGCAACTGTACATACTAGCACTCAATATCTGGAGAGGACCCACTGCAGCATCAGTGAAAATCTAGCTGTGCATGAAGTACCTCCTTGCTATGAATTTCCTGACACAAGGGGAGAGAGCAACTTCTGAAGCAGTTCAGTCCATTGCCTCCAGCAGATTGGGCCCATTGATTCATAAGACAGCCATATTGCAGAGCAAGGATGGCAGAGCTGAAAGCCCAAGAGACACTGAGTGGGGTGTGTGGTTGGAAACTGACTAGCTGCCTGAACTGATACCTCAGTGTCGGATTGTGCTGTCTCTGAGATAGGTTGGCATATCCTGATGAGACTCATGTCCTTCTCATCTGCATTCATAGTATTCCATGGGTGAACTCCACTGTAGGTGAGCAAAAAGGAACAAGTCAGTGATAGCCCAGTTATATGTCTGGGAGAATTATAGGCTAAAGGTTGGAGATGACATTAAGTAGCTTTTGGATGGAAAGAGAATCTTCTAGGAGGTCTGAAAGTCTACAGTTTAGGAATGTACATTGATTAGTGCTGATCAAACTGAGAATCTCAGAAACCTTTCTGGCTCTTGGCTTTTATAAAGAACAAGCTGAAAATGCATCAGCAGTATTTGCTAAAAGATAAACAAATGGAGCAGAAGGGGCTGTGCAATTTTTTAAAAATTAGTCATAAGGGAGTGTATATTCAGAGTTATTGCCTATTCCCTAACCTGCTATATCCTGATGGAAAATTCTGCCAAAAAGCTCTTGAAACCAAGTCATCAGCAAAACATACAAAGTTATATAATTGTTCAATATAGCTAAATATTTTATTTCCAAGTTTAGTAATTGCAGAATTTGGGTTTGAGCACAAGATTTCCAGATTCCTTCTTGAAAATCTTTTTGCCTCTGGAATGGTAGTACCTTAGTTAATAAGGGCCATGCTTCTTGAAGAAGGTATGGTATTCAATAAAGGTGGTGTCCATCTGGAAATTAGGGGCATAACGTGTCCTCCTGAACATCTGGGTGATTTCAGGAAGCCAGTAATACTGTAATGTCTCCCTTAATTGGAGGTTAGAAATGAGAGTTGGAGGATTCTGGGCAGTAAAACGCTGTCATCCTACACTTAACCACAACCATAGTCCAAAGCTGCCTGATCATAAATTTGGCCATTTTGCTGTGAGCTGCCCACCTGGGTTATCAGGTAACTTGCACATTGTTTTGTGGTAGGTGACCGTATAGTACCAAAAATGCTGCCTGTGATCTTAAGTGTGCAGCAATAGTAGTGCTTACTCCAGAGTGAAGATGTTATTGACCATCTTTATGGCTGTGCCGTTACATCTGTGCTGTGGAAGCACTTACTCCATTTGTTCCCAGGATGACTCTGTCCTGAATGATTCTGTCAACTGATTTTTGCCGAAGTCTGTGATGCAAGTGCCAATGTTCTGGAGATCAAACCTTCAATAAACGGTGTTACGTGTCTTGGCAATTTGGACAGTTCCTCCTGATGCACATCACAGCTCATCTTACCTAAGGACTGGGCTATACTACAATTACTAACATGGACAGGAACAGATGTCCTGCACTAGTCACATTCATCAGAAGTATTAAATTTCATAGGAAAACTAAATTAGAACCATTGCAACAGACAGGTAATTATTGCCCTCTATGATTATGCAATGTCTCTTTCAAAGCATAAGATTCTGTCCTCCCCAGAATAGACCTGGAAGAATTCCTCTGGCATTTCCAGGAGCATTGAAACATTCTGATCCAGACATCTCTAAGACGTACAGAGATTATCTGCATTAGTCATGGAGCACTTCACCACAGTCTCTCTCTCTCTCTCTCTCTCTCTCTCTCTCTCTCTCTCTCTCTCTCTCTCTCAATATGTTATTCTTAAAATTGATATATGCATGAAAATGTTACTTCTGAGCATGAACAACCACAGAATAACTCCATGCATGCCTATTCTTATGATGTTCCCTTAAAATCCTTTGACTGTAATACAGAATGAATAAAACAGCAGTTTCTGAAGCTGAATTGCCACAGCTCACCAAACTATTTAATGACTCTGTGTATAGGGGGAAACCAGCTCAGATAGTTTAAGGTTCAGTGTGTTGTGTGAATCTATAGTATTGGTATAATTCCATAAATCATAGCTAACTTAACCATGGCTGATTGTGTTGTTTAAATTCAAGACTTCAAATGATACCTCAAACTTTCCATCACCTACTTTTCTTCCTATTACTCCCACCTGTTTTTTTTACTGTATTCACCTGACCCAAATTCTCACGCCCTGGATGTACCAAATAGTTTCCTGTCAGAGACTTGCTGGTCATTCTTAGGAAAAGCAATTCTCTCTGTTGCTAGTAAATAGTTCCAGCAATCTCCATTACAGACATTATTAAACCCATGTTAGCAGAAGTAGCAGTTTCATAGAGGGGAAGGCTTCCAATTATTAGCTATGCAAGACTTTCAGTAATGGAAGCAGTAGGACGTGTGATGCTCATTGCTGGAGGACATGAATGGGAAATGCCACCGTGCTAATGTTCTATTTATGGAATCCCCAATTGCACCTGATAGGAACATTGAACCAAATAGGACTTTGTATCTCTTCTTATCTACAAGTCTTCTCACAGCAGTGGAAGAAAATTATTAGGAAAAACAAGGGAAGCATTGGAGAAACAAGGAAAAGGTGAATCACATCTACGTAAATGGAATTATCTTGGAAAGAAAGGGCTGTGTTCCATTCCAGGACATACATGTACTGTCTGACTTTAGCAAAATTACTTTCAGCTTCTGTTTCTCAGCTATACTGAGAATAACAAGAGTGCTTGCAGAACTGTTTCAGTTCTTTGATGTAGGTTCTGCAAAAGAAAAACAATTGGTTGAACCTAGAGAAAGCCCTTTTCATTGCATGTGGTTTCATGGAAGCACAATTTAACTCATTAATTGGCAAACATCATCATGAAGCTATAGAAAATTAATGAAAAAGGGGAAAAAAAATCAGTGATCGACCTTTACACAGCATCCAATCTCCTTACGCCACTTTGACAGTCAAATCATTTTTCTGCCCGAGTCTATAATTCTATCCAATGATTGTTTTAAGAATACAACAACCTCCTGGTTTAAGTATTAAAAGCTTATCTAGTAAATGCACCAGTTTTGTAGAGGCCATTGTGCTGTTATATAATATGACCCAATCATGCTAGAAATGCTCAGAGTAGGATCTGCAATCTAAAGTATCAGATGGTCATATAGGTTGGTTGGTTCATATTGCACTTGTCCATGTGCGAAATGATCAAGCCTGGCTCAGTTCCCCACAGTTTTCTTGCAGATCCTTTACCTGCTTGGTCCCCACACCATAAGTGAATTTTTCCCAACATTCCAGACGTGCTACCTATAATTTTCATTATCTCTAGCAAGCACAATCCCTGTGACAGCCGAAACTATGACAGTTGCAAATCCAGAATATTTTGAGGTTACCAGATTGGAGGTAATTGCCTCAAAGAAAATATTAGCAGGCTGAGGAAAGAGAAGTGAAAAAGAAGTAGCTGAAGATCATCTCCAGTTTTCCCTTTAGGACTGCGACAGGTCATTAGTTTGATTTCATTTGATTTCAACTTCTGTCTCAATATGTAGCCAGAGGCTATTGCTTTGAGTTCAGCATTGCTTCTTGAATAAACTACTGTTAAGGTGAATGGCTAAAATCAATTCTGAGGCTACATTTTCAGCTGTGACCTTTCTGCTCGGTAAAGCCTCTTCCAACAATGTTTTTTTTTCCAACTGTATAAGAGATGGAGACCACAAGTCTAGAGACTAAAAAGGAAAGTTAAATGCAAAATAAGGAGGAAGGAAAAAACAAAGCAAGGCTGTTTACCAGAAAGTTATTGTTTCCCTACCTGCTAACACTCTCTAATGTCAAGGGCAATGAAAGGTGAGCTCAGAGGCCACCGCAGCCTTTGATAAGTAGATGCACAGTCAGAGCTGCTGTGTATTCCTCTCCCCAAGGGAGCTACTGCCTTCACCAGACGCCTGGGGGCAGAGATAATGAGCCTAATCGAAGCAAATTGCTGGAACACAAAGACACTTTATGAGAAGGTAAATATGGTTGATGAGCCACGCATATGACTTGTGTCTTTCTAACACAGATACCTCTCTCTTTTTATTTCTCAGTAGCAAAATACACACCTGCACCTGTCCTCTGAAAGAGATTTTGCTCTTCTCACTACTGGTACTCTATTCCATTTACTCTGTTCCCCCCCCCCAAAAAAATCCTTCCATCAAACTAAAATAACCCCTAGTTTCAGCCTTCATTCCTTACTAGTTATGGGTCTATGTCTTTGGAAAGTTAACATTCCTCATGTCAGTGGCCTTAAGGAACATGATGGTGCTCAGAATCTGTATGTATCAAAAATAATAGCTGTTGTTTAACGTTCCAGCTCTATTCAACTTACAGACATTGAAGAATCATTAAATTTAATGAAGAAGGTAGATTAGAAAAAACACAGATCCTTGGAATCATTTGTTTTTCCATATGATTATCTTAAAAAAATGTTCTGTGTTCATATAAACTTAAGACATGAGATTTGCCTGTCTTCTCCAATCCATCTGCCTGCCTGCCTTCCATGAGCTATGCCACTGTCACAAATCCAGTCATTTTTGTAACTTGTAACCAAAGATTGCTTCTGTTGGTGCAGAGAAATGGGGCTAGTGCAGGGGACTTGTGGTTATAAATGTTCACTCCTACATGAGCAGAAACCTGCTGATCAGTAATTGCCCATTTGGCAAATAAATGATCACATCACCTCATACCATCACTGTCACTTACAAGCTCATCTCCACAGGGGGCGCTCTATTATCTCCAGAGTCTATTATTCATGTGCTGGGATGTGTATGTGTGCAACCACATAATGATGCATCTGAAAAATGCTTCCTCTCCAAGATCACAGACTACTCACCTATGCTTATTTACAATTAATTTGTGCAGATTTTGAATGTTGGCGATAAGGCCAGAATAGCAATAGCAATAACATTTAGACTTATACAGTATATTGCCCCATAGTGCTTTACACTATGGGTGGTTTACAATGTCAGCCGATTGCCCCCAACAATCTGGCTCCTCATTTTACCGACCTCAGAGGGATGGAAGGCTGAGTCAACCTTGAGTTGGTCAGGATCGAACTCCTGGTGCATGTGCAAAGTTAGCCTGCAATACTGCATTCTAACCAATTCACCACCACGGCTCAGTAGAGTCAGGATGATGGGGTAAAGTAGTTAAAACTGCGTATTCAAACTTGATGTAAGAGAAGGAGAGACTGAACCTGGAGGACAAAGTCAACAGAGGAATCAGCCTGGAGTCATTACATTCCCACAAGCAGTTTAAGTTCAACCCTTCTTGAATTCTGTTAACTCTTATCTAGCACCAATTTAGTGTTGACTTTAGTTGACTAGATTCTTACATAAAGGCATGGGTAATAAATTTGTTTAACTGGAGCTTATCATGTCCTGATTCTTTGCACTTGACAGTTTATGGGGTATAGAAAGTGACCTCAGCTTCCATCCTTTCTTAAAGAACGTTTGAGTCACAATCGTAATATTTTGATTAAAACTACATATCATGTTATTTCCTTAAAATGGTTCAAGCAACATAGCAAAGAGGTGGGACAATATGAGCCCTGGATGCATGATCGCTGCCAAACTGGCATGGCTACCATAAGATTAAGGATCTAGAGATCAGTCATAGACAATGGCACTCTGTTTTTTACATTAGCTCCCCTGAATCTTACCCATCTGGCTATTGGCTAATCCAAGGCTGGACAACCTGTAAAGCCCTCGGATATCAGGATTTTGGTAGCAAAGCATCAGCTAATAAAAATGTGGCTTCTTGCCCATTTTGTAATATTTTTTGTAAAGCTGTATAAACTATTGATTAATCCCAATATATTTACGAATATATAAAGCACATATACACCTCCCCAAAACTTGGGTAGCATAACATCTCTACCCATTGCCCCCCTCTGATACAAAAAATGTACACTGAGAAGAATAGTTTCCTACCCTTAGGTTATACCTATAATGTTTACTGGAACACCCAACACACTTTACTTCTGGAGGAAGAAATGGCAGACTGAAGATGGGTCTTCAAAAAAAAAAAAAATGCAGCTGACAACAGCAGTGAAGAATAAAGAGCCAGTAAGTAGACCAGCTCTTTGAATCTCTCCAAATAAAAAGGGAATGGGAGATTGCCCACAAGTGCTCCAGACAGTTTCTCCTCATGAGGTGAGCACAAAATAGAAGTCTCCAACTGTTTTTGACCACTGGGAGAAGAGGGAATAACTATCTTGCTCAAACTGCAGGTGGAGCTTTTAAAAGGACACTGAGTTCACATACTCCCTTTTCTAATCACATTCCAAAATTGCTTATTACTACTTTATGGCTATTAAAAATCTTTGGTCAATAAGTCTAGATGAGTCTACTTTCAGTCTTCAGTGAAATAAAATTTTACTTACAAGCTTAAGAACTTAAAAAGATTGAAATAAGCAGCACAAAACTAATGAAAATTTTGATTTTAGAAAGTTATAAACCGATTCAGGGTCCCCATAAATTAGATATAAGGTTTTGGAATTAATTACAACAATTCTTCCCATGGAAATGTCTACTTGTTTTGAACAAGTAGGGAAGTCAATTGCAAAAACAGGACACTAGAGGGAAGTTTGGTTAACAGTTACAGGATGACACAAAATATCATTACGTTGGAAATACTGAAGGATTCTTTCGAAACATGGAATCAGAAGTTAATTTCAACAATGTCAATAGCAATGTTTGCTTCTATGGGTGGAAGTTTGTACTTTCAGACTTGCAAGATTTTGCTAATGTAGCCTTATAATAAAGTAGAACTAGTTCATCTAATCACGTTTCCTGTCTGATAGACAAGGGGGGGCTGATATAAACCAAGAGCATGGCCAGTATAGATATATCAAATACTTTGGCCACCTATTGAGAAGAGAGGACTCATTGGAAATTCCCTGATGTTGGGAAAGACTAAAGGCA